AGCTAACAACCACGGAGGATCAACTCACTAGGGAGAAAATCCAAAGAAATATGCAGGAGGATCGTAACCGCCATAGGAACAAAGAAGAAGGATTTGTCCAAATTCAAGGGAAAGACAACTTACATCGAGAAAGAGAAGAAACAACTCCATATCAACCACAAGAAGAGAGCCGTAGAGTTACGAGACAAAAAGCGAGGCAGACTTAAGTAAATGGACGAAGGAAAGAAAATTCTTTCCATTAATATAAACGGCCTAAATTCAAGAGCTAAAAGGAAAAGGACTCTAACCAAACTAATAAAACAAAATGTTGATATAATTTGCATACAAGAAACACACGTTAGGAAAAGTGAGGAGAAATTCCTAGAGTGTCCGAAACTGGGAAAATTATTTACAGCACCAGCAGATAAACACAAAAAGAAAGGCATCGCAATCTATGTGAGAGATGACTTAAAAGCGGAGTTAATCTGGGCGGACCCTGAAGGAAGAACGCTGGTAGTACAAATCTCGATTAATGGCATTACACTCTTACTGGTAGTAATCTATGCCCCAAATGATGATCAAGGTAAATTTTTTAAACATCTCCATCAAAAAATAACAGAATTCGAAAATGGTAATATTATTCTGATTGGCGATTTTAACTCTATTGCTGACTACCGGAAGGATCATAGTAATAGGAGTAAGAACAAAAAAGGGAATAGAGAATTTTCTAAGCCATGTAAGGATATGTTGAATGAAATGAATCTGGTAGATATCTGGAGAAAATTAAATCCCAAAAAAGAACAGTTTACTTATTATTCTAACCCGCACAAAATTTGGACAAGAATAGATATGGCTTGGATAAACGGTGAATTGATTAATGAAATCAAAGATAGCGAAATCTTACCAAATGACTGGGCTGACCACAATCCAATTCAAATAACCTGGAGAGGTAGAGGAAAACCAAAGAAAAGATGGACTTTTAACAGTCATTTAACAAAAGAAGAAGAATATATTAATAAACTGAAAGAAGAACTGAACTTCTTCTTAAAGGAAAATAATAATGATCTAACTTCGAAACAAAATATATGGGACACATTTAAGGCATTTATAAGAGGAATAACAATCTCTTACAATGCTATGAGAAATAAAAGAAAGTATGCTCAACAAAGTAATCTACAACAAGAAATTAAAGATTTAGAAATCCAATTACAAAAGAACCCCAAAAACCAAAGAATACAGAACCAGTTAATAACAACTAAACACAAATTAAATTTACTGGAACAAGAAAAATTGGAGATTAGTCTGAAAATGACTAAACAAATCTACTTTGAGCATGCAAACAAACCAGGGAGATGGTTAGCCCACAAACTTAAGAAAACGAAAGAAAAAAGATTGATACACCAATTAATGGATGAGGGGGGCAATATGCAGGAGGAGATAGAGAAGAAAAAAGAGATTACTTTTAATTACTTCGAGAAATTATACAAAAAAGAAGAAGTCTCTGAGGATAAAATAATGAAATACCTGGAGGAAGCGAATGATAAAGCAATTGGAGAGGAAGAGATAGAATTATTAAATCAAAAAATAACATGGTCCGAACTGAAGTCAGCAATAGAGAAGCAAAGTAACAATAAAGCACCTGGACCGGATGGGATACCGGTAGAACTTTACAAAATTATCATAGAACAAATTGGACCACTGATGCTGGATGTTTTTAATGAGGTACTCTTAGCAGCCAAGATGCCGGACTCGTGGAGGGGAGCCTTAATTTCGCTGATCCCGAAGGAGGACCTAGACCACAGACTTATTAATAATTATAGACCAATTTCGCTCCTGAATGCAGATTACAAATTATTCTCTTCTATAATAGCTAATAGATTAAAACAGGTTTTAAACACTTATATCCATGAAGATCAAAATGGATTTCTCCCATTTTGACAAATTAAGAATAATTTAAGAACAGTGATAGACATTTCAGAATACTATGAAGCCCACCCGGAAAAACAATTTGCATTTATGTTCTTGGATGCTGAAAAAGCATTCGACAATTTAAATTGGCATTTCTTAATTCAAAAAATATATAATATGAATCTTGGCACCAGATTTGAAAATGTCATCACAACAATTTACCACACTCAACAGGCAAACATTCTAATAAATGGGGAACAAACTGGCCCGATAAAAATAGAAAAGGGGGTAAGACAGGGTTGCCCTCTCTCCCCTCTGCTTTTCATATTCGCCCTAGAATCTCTTCTGACGTACATTAGGCAAAATTTGAGAATTAGAGGTCTGAGGATCAAATCAGAAGAATATAAACTACAGGCTTTCGCTGATGATTTGGTTTTTTTTCTGGAGGAGCCTATAGAAAAAGGACACAACTTATTAGAAGAACTAGAACGATTTGGAGAAGTCGCGGGATTTAAAATAAACAGGGGAAAAACAAAATTAATGACTAAAAATTTAACAGGAGACCAGAATAAAAAGCTAGAGACAACAATGGGAATACAGGTGACAAAAAAAATTAAATACTTAGGAATTTGGCTAACTCCACAAAGTAAATCGTTAAAAGAAAATAATTATGACAAACTTCTTCAACAATCTAAGAAAGACTTGGATTTCTGGAGCAAGTTACAACTTTCCTTATTGGGCAGGATTGCTTTGATTAAGATGAATATTCTGCCAAAATTTCTATATTTATTCCAGACAATTCCAATCAAACTAAATAAAAATTTTTTTATGGAATTAAACAAGATAACATTGAATTTCATTTGGCAGGGGAAAAAAGCTAGGATTAACGTAAAAGCCCTACAAGATTTGAAAAGCAGAGGAGGGTTAGCCTTGCCAAACTGGGAAATATACCATACGGCAGCCACCTTACTATGGATAAAGGATTGGGTAAACCTAACCAACAAAAGAACACTAGTATTAGAAGGCCACGATATGCAGAAAGGATGGCATGCCTTTCTGTGGGAATCAGGGAAACCCAGGCAATCATATTTCCATAGGCATCTTATTAGGGACGCTTTATTAACTAATTGGAAAAAAGTACGTAAAAAACTTTATCTAAAAATACCGATTTGGCTGTCTCCAATGGAAGCGATAGTACACCCTAATAATTTGGATATAACCAAAATGATTAAGTATGAAAATTTATTAGACCTACAAGGAAAGTTAAAAACACGACAAGAATTACAAGAACGAGGATTTATAATTGATCAGTGGGTGTACCTTCAAATTCATAGTAAATACAAACAAGACATTAAAGAATTTGGAATCTACAATAAATTACAGACTCTAGACAAAATTCTATTAGGACCAAGTAAAAAAAATATATCTAAATTTTACAAATATTTATTAGAAACAGAACTGGAACAAGAAATTGTCAAGGGAAATATGATTGCGTGGAGCAGAAATGTGGGTCGGAGCATTACCCTAGCAGAATGGGAAAAGGTCTGGAACAGGAACATTAAGATCACGAAATCAGCAGCTTATAAAGAAAACTTATATAAAATGTTTTATAGATGGCACCTGCCTCCTTCGAGATTGGCCAAGATGCACCCCAACACGAGCCCCAAGTGTTGGAAATGTCAAAACATAGAAGGTACCTTCTTCCACATGTGGTGGTCATGCAAGGAAACCCAGAAGTATTGGCAAAAAATTAGGCACTGGCTAGAGGAAATAACCATGGAACAGATTGAGTACAAACCGGAGTCCTTCCTTCTAGGAATTTTTGATAAACGAATATCCAAAAAATCAAAGTATATTACAATCCATATCTTAACCGCGGCCAGACTGGCATTTGCCCAGTGCTGGAAACTATCTTCTATCCCCACTGAACTTATGGTCATTCAGAAAATTTTACAATGTGCAGAAATGGACAATCTAACCCAAGCATTAAAAAATAAAGAATCTTCAATTTATTCTAGCAATTGGAATCCTTTGTATATTTGGCTTAATCAAAGATAGTTCACCGCTAAGAAGACTAAGGCCGACGATAGCTTTGAAGAAGAAAAGACCTTACTGACAGTCACAAAATATGGTTTTATTATAATTGTCTTTCCTACCTTTGTTTTCCCCACTTTTCCCCCCTTCTCTTCCCTTTCCCTCTTTCCTCTCTCAAACTTTCCTTTCTTTCCCTCTTGGCTTACGCCAAGACTGGTGCGTCTCTTTGTTGTATATAATTTATAGCTGTGTTGTTGTCTTTTTTTAAAAAAAGTAAAATTAATAAAGTTTATTTAAAAAAAAAGAAGAATGTTTATTTAATCAATACTGACTTGATGCCACATAATCAATTAAAAAATCAGCCTGTCAGCCAGAAACAGGGCAGAAAAACAGCTCAAAGACTAGACAATCTTGGAATGGGAGTATACAGGCTGAGCATAACTTCTATGAAATTATTATTGACCATGGATGTCAACTTGGACAACATGACAAATTGGCAGAAAGTGGCAATGTTTATACCATAAAGTGATTTTAATAATAATAACAATAACGACTTGATAGGTGGATGAAAATGTCCAATTCAATCTAAACATCTGGCTGACTGTGTGACAAGCCATAAGCATTAAGCTACTGCACTCTTTTTATTCCTATTGAGATCCATGCCCAAATATTATGACAGTAACTGAGCTGGAATGAGCTATAGTATTATTAGCAACCTAATAACAACAAGATAAATAGCCATTTGAGGCAATAAGAAAGCTCAGCAACTGATATATCCAGTAATTGTATAGCATGTCTAGTGGCTCTTAAGTTCAGAAAAATAAAATAATGTTAGGTAAACATTAGAGGTATTTATATTTACCTTTTTAAAAATACCCATCACATATTTTAGAAATAAGATTGAAATTACTATTGTTTCTCCCATACTAAACTTATATTTTCAAAATTCTACTTAAATGTTTTTAGAATTTAAACACACATAAATACAACAACAACAAAAAATCCAGTACCAACTGAATTAGAATGATGAAGCTCCTCTTTTGATTTAAGTATAAGGGGTAACAAAATGTACTACTTACCTCTGTTAAACCAGAAACCTCTCCTCGGGCAAACGGCCTTCTGATGGATGGAGTGAATACTCTGGCCTCTGATACTGGCTGTCCTCTCATAAAATGCTTCCCTGCTTCAAAAATGTCCACTTCTACCATCTTTCCCATGAATTCAGGGTTCTTTGGTACAAGAATCTTTAAAAGAAAATATATTGATTGTTTTTCCAAATACTTTGAAAAGTACTTACAGTTTTACATCCAAAAAGGAAGAAAGATAAACGTAAAAAATGCCATGTGATATCTTAACATTTGATAGCATTTGCCATAACAGAAACTTATACAATATTAGAAAATTTTAAAGTTTTTTTTATATAAACCTTCCCAGCAGTACTGCAAGCTAACTCATATTGCAAGCTAATTCTGCCCACAGCCTGGAGTTTGATCCTGACTGACTCAAGGTTGACTAAGAACTCTCTGTTGTTATTGCTTAACTACAAAATATTTTACAAAATATTTCTCCAATTAGAAGTTGTTTCCACATTTCTAATTATTTAGAACCTAAATAATAATCTAAATAGAGATATCTTAACATGAGAGATGTCATTTTAATGAACAAAATGAGGGGAAATCAATTAATAGGAAAATCATTTATATTAATCTATTTTCTGCAACTTGGAGAAAACAGATGCATTTGACAGCTCCAGTCACAGGATTGGTGGAAACTAGGTATCAAATTCATGAACATTATTTTGTATGACAGTTAAAGTTAAGGATGACAAAAAGGACAATTTTTTCCTTATTTTTAAAATGTTACCTGTTCGTAGAATTTATTATGAGCAACATAAAATTTGGAATCAAAGGATTCTTCTGTAACAAGCACTTTCTGTCTCTTCCCAATCTGTGAAATAAAAGAAAAAATGCAAGTAGCAGTGAGTGAAAAGATGCTATTGTAAATCCCCCTTTATCATGCAATTATCAGGCTGATGTGAAATAATTTAATAGCCACTGGAGGAAAAAACCCCTCTATTACATCTAATCATCATTTGGACAGATAGGAGACTACAGTCCTCTTCTACATACAAGGGACGTGGTGATCTGAGATTGATGCAGCTCTTTTATTCCCCTAACATTGTGTTGCTTCTAGCTGTACTGGAAAGCTGAACTAATTAACTCTGTAAGTTAATCATCTAGGCTTATGCTCCAGAGAAAACATGGTGATGACAGCTTACTCCACAGCAGCAGGAAACAGTAGATCACAACCTACTACTTGATAAGATAGAAAAATGTGGGTTAGACAGCATCACCACCAGATGGATTAGTAACTGGCTGACCAATTGCGCTCAACATATAGACCTCAATGGAACTGCATCTACATGGAGGGACCTATGCAGTGGCTCTCTCTTAGGCCTGGTACTCTTCAACATCTTCAGCAATGATTTGGATGAGGGGATAGATGGGGAACACTCCAGAAGATAGGCTTATGATGCAAGAAGGATCTTGAAAGACTTGAACATTGGGCACTATCTAACAAAATGAAATTCAGTAATGAAAAATGTAAGGCTCTATATTTAGGCAAGAAAAACCAAATGCACGGGTATAGTATAGGTGGTACCTGGCTCAACTGTGGTAACTGTGAGAGGGATCTTGGAGTCCTAGTAGACAATCAATTAAATATGAGCCAGCAGTGTGCTGCAGCTGCCAAAAAAGGCAACACAGTTCTAGGCTGCATAAACAGAGGGATAGAATCAAGATCACGTGTAATGTTAATACAACTTTGTAATGCCTTGGTAAGGCTACACTTGGAATACTGCATTCAGTTTTGGTTGCCACAATGTAAAAAAGATGTTGAGGCTCTAGAAAGAGTGCAGAGAAGAGCAACAAAGATGATTAGAGGACTGGAGGCAAAAACATATAAAGAACAGTTTCTGGAATTGGGCATGTCTAGTTTAATGAAAAGAAGGACTTGGGGAGACATGATAGCAGTGTTCCAATATCTCAGGGGCTGCCACAAAGAAGAGGGAGTCAAGCTATTCTCCAAAGTACCTGGCAGCTCCAGTGGCCTAGAGGTGGAGCTTTTGCTTCACAATCAGGAGGTTGTGAGTTCGATCCTAGGTAGAGGCTCATATTTACAATAGACTCTCCTGCTCGAGCAGGGGGTTGGACTAGATGACCTCCAAGATCCCTTCCAACTCTGTTACTCTATGACCTGAGGGCAGAACAAGAAGCAATGGGTGGAAACTAATCAAGGAGAGAAGCAACTTAGAATGAAGGAGAAATTCCCTGACAGTCGGAACAAATAATTTGTGGAACAACTTCAATCAATAGATCAGAATAGAGCTGAAAGGGACCTTGGAGGTTTTGTAGGCCGACTCCCTGCTCAAGCAGTCTCTCCAAAAACCTCTAGTTATGAAAGCACCCACACCTCCTGAGGGCCAGCTGTTCCCCTGGTTAGTTGTCCTCTCTCTTAGGAACTTTCTCCTTAATTCCAGGTTGCCTTTTTCCTTGATTAGTTCTCATTCATTGTTCCTTCTCTTGTCCTCTGCAACTTGCCTCAAGAAGATGTGAATGCTGCAACACTGGAAGTTTTTAAGAAGAGACTGGACAACGCTTTATCTGAAATGGTACAGTGTTTCCTGCCTGAACAAGGGGTTGGACCAGAAGACCTCTAAGGTCCCTTCCAACTCTGTTCTGTATTCTGTGTTCCCCAGGGCTTTAAGAGATGAACGATGTTTAGATTATGGAATGTAATTCTTTTAACTAACAGTAATTGATTCAATTAACCAATTTGAATACAATTCATTTTCAAAACTAAAACTAATTTCCACTGCCCGAAGAACCCCTTCATTATGAATCCTAGATCTATCTATGAATAGTTCTGAGAATTATTACGCTGGAGAGAAGGAATTATTTTACAGAGCCTTGGGAATATTCTTTCCTACGACAGTAACATTGATACGGTATATCTGAAAAGACCTGGATATTGTTTTCTTCTACTTTTTTTGTAAGCTCTTCGTACAACTCTTTCAAGAGGAGGGAGCGGGGAAGGGGAGGGCTGCAGCAACCATCCTTTAGATGTGACTGCCTGAATATTTCTCAGCACTGCCCACAAAGGGAAAAATAATAATCAAGACCACCAATATCGACGTTACTAGAATAGATTTTCTTGCAGTATTTTAAATGTTCCTGGCTCAATTTGACAACCACATTTGCTAGACCTCACACTTTTATCTGGAGTCTAAAAATATTCACAAGAATATATCTTTCAGCTGTTGAACAATAATTGCAAAAAAATACCCTCAACAACCCCACATTACAATCTGAATTAAAATTAAAAGATGAAAATCATGGAGACAGTGCATATATTAAATTATTAACAGCCTTTCACTGTCATCCAGGGAAAACAAGTATTGGATTGTTCTGCAACAAGGAGTTATCATTGTGGATATGGCCATCCCCCTATTCCTTTTGCAGCAACCTTCCTGGCATGGGAGAATTCTTCTCCACTCTCCGTGGCAATCCTTCTTTTCCTATCACAGCGCATCAAGTACCAAACAAACAATGAGCACCTGGACAATATTTTCATGTGGAAATGCACCACGTACCAAATTCAACAAGTTTTGAAGCAGTGGAGTAACGAGGCACCACTGTATTTCAAAGAACTGCAGGCAAGTGGTTCTTTCTGAAATAGCTTTTCAGAAGAGCATCTGAAGTACTGCAGAGCTCTAATATATTATATTGCACTCCCTCCTTCAAGTTTTCCTCACAATAACAATCTTGAATAGTAGGTTATTGGCTCACAGTCACCTCCAAGGTACCATTTGGAATATACATTAATCTCTCCCCAAACCTAATTGTACAGACTTTTGATATTTAGCAACAAAAATGAAACAGATCATTATTTGTTATAGTTCTAATTCATCTTTATTTTCTACAACTGAAAGCAGACTACATAACGCTTCCTCTTCCTATTTCCTCACAACCACCACCATGTGAGATGGATTGGAGAGAGAGGGAGGGAGGGGGAGAGAAGGAGAGAAAGAGAGAGACAGCGCAACTGGCCCCAAATAATCCAAATGGTTCTCCTGCTTAAAGGAGGACTAAAATTTGTAGTCTCGTGGTTTCCAGTCCAGAACTTCAATCACTGCACCAAACTGGCTCTCCATGATTACACTCCAGAGACTTCTGAGTTGTTGATGATTCCAACTTTGCATGTTGCCCCTACATGTACAATGTATGTGGCATTTGTAATGCTGCTCACGGAAACTCTTGTTTCCTCTCTTTCATTTAGCCAAATAGAATTGATCTAAGCAACAGATGCACACAGTGCAAACCTCCATCTTTTCAACTCTTTCACTGCCTGGTTGGAGCCTTGAGAAGCAGGAAGGGATTAAACAGAAATCAAAGGAAGCAGGGCTTGAATAGCATCTTGTTAGCATGACAAAAGGAATACCTCTGTTGTTGAGCATTGGGCAATGCATCTCATTAAATTCAAGGGAAAGAACAATTATTTAGGCCCCCCATGACTGTTTCTGGCACTAGGCTCCGTATCAGAGAGCCCATCCAATCTTATGGGGAGAGCTGCTACTTTCTCAGCCCAGCAATCCTGCTTCAGGGTAAATCGCCCACTTCTTACTACTGTGCACCTGCATCTGACTGCTTCATTTTGATCTGGTCTCCTGCTGTGCAAATGTTGCTTCTTCAAGCACAGACATGCCTTGAAATGCAGCTCATATGAAAATTATATTCAGAGATGTCAGCAGTGACCTAAAAATGACAAATAGGCCTCAATTGCCTTCTTTTAAAATTCAGTTTGGTTTAATTGATTTCTTCTCTACAATAGTATCTTGCCATATGATGCAGTTCCATCAAACTATATAGGCAGGGCAAGAAAATAATTCAGTACCCTTATCTGTATCTTTATCTGACTTATAATCATGTAGATCATTTGTTATGTTTTCCTGATTTCCTGATTCTGGTTCTTTACAAATATGATATGAAGGGGTTCTTATACCCAGCATTTTCTCTCTCATACATAAACACAGAGACATACCCACAGATACTTTTGTTCTTTTCTGCAGGATTAGGGGGGAAAAAGAACAAGGAAATTGTAAAGTATACCTTTACAATTTCTTACTTATATTTATTTTTCTTAAAAAAGTATATTTTATTCTGCATTCTAAGCAGGAGTTGGAAATCTGCCTTCACCAAATTCAATTCTTTTCCCTTTTCAGTCTAGTATTCAAGGAAAGCTGACTGGCTAGGCCTCCTTCAGGGCTTTCACTAGGAAACAAAATGGAAGCCAAGAACGTTACTTCAGAAATCCCAGGCATTTCAAAGGGCCTTAAAAATCCTGGCTCTCCTCCCAGACCTTTGGAGAGATGGACTGCTGCTCCTCTTTTCCCTTTCTGTTCCCCTTTGCCATTGTTCTGGCTTTGCCTTGTGTGGCTGTCATGTTTGTTATATTGGCCTCTGTTTTTTAAAAAAATGTCTTAATAACTTAATAACTACCCAGAACTGTTCAGAGTCTGGAGGCATATAAACTGAATTAATTATGAAGATGATTAGCAAGGAAACAAAAATGGGTTGAGTAGTCTAGCTATCCCATCCAGCTTGGGCTATTGTACAAAAGGCAACTATTTTTTGCCACACAAGGCAAGCATGCGTAAGGCTAAGAGGGAGAAGACCAAGAGTCTACCTGAGGGTCCAACCACCTAAAAACACCTGGTAGATATCTCTGTCACTATAACAAAAAAATACACATTTATAAGAGAATGGATAGAATCAGTCTACAATCCAGTAGAACAACTTTCCCTTTATGGCAAGCCTTTTGAAGCAGAACATATTGCTTAGTATAGATGTTGCAATGCTATTCAATCTAAGCAGAAGTAGTCCAGTTCA